TGGTCTTCCTTTGATGCTTGATCATGCCATGCTCCTCTATCACTTAGACTCCTCTCATAATCATATCTTGGCTCTGCCCTAAAATTTTGATTCGGTTTTTGTGCACAAAGCAAACCTAATCTAACCGTTAGGTTAAAGTCCATAATATTAAAAAATGTTTTAGTTCTATAAAGTTCAATTTTACGTCAAAAATTTTAAAAATAATTTCAGCCAAATTTATCAAATGTTTCGGTAATTTAATTTTGGGTTAAAGCCAAATTTTGTCCCAAAAATATTTCTGTATGAACTATGGATGTCCAGAAGTTTTTTTTTATTTTATTAACATCATCTTGAAAGTATTAAAAAAGTAGCAATGTTGCCTTTGGCTGTTAAAAATAATAACGGTCAACAATAATTTTTTAAATAATTAAGACAAATTTGCTTCTTTTTTAATACTTTTATATCATAATTAATTATAAAAGAACTTTCAAACATTCACATCTCTTATCCAAAAACTTTCAGAACAAAATTAAACCTTAACTCTTTAATTTTTCATTTCATAAATCTTATGAATCACAACAAAGTAAAAAAAAAAACTATTTTAAGAAATAATTAAAATTATTAATTTTGAAAATAAAAGTTAGAGAACTATTATAGGAAAAATGACAATAAAATACTTCAAAAATTGTTGAAAAAACTAATCAATGTGGATAAATTTCAAATTTTCAATTTAGGGCCCTTGTACTATTTTTGAAATTTCAAATCTTGCAAAATTACCCAAATGTCCTTCATTATTTGTTCTCTTGCGAAATTATCCAAATGTCCTTCATTATTTTTTCTCTATCTTTTTTTTTAAATATTGCCACCTCAGCACTCTTAGTATGTTTTCGGCCACCGGAGCTCCAACACTGGTGAGCCTACTAGTGGCCAGCCGTTGAAACTCCAATGATCGGTCATCAGAGCTCTGATGACGGGTCATGGGAGCTCTGGTGACTATTCTTTTTTGTGTATTGACTATTTTATTTTATCTATTGACCATATTTGTTTGTAGAACTCTGATGACTACTCTTGTTTGGCCACAAAATATTTTAGTATTGTGATTGACTGCTTTTATTTTTAAAATTTTGGTGACTATCTCTGTTTAACTAATGACTACTTTAGTTTTGTCATTGACTACTTTTATTTCAAACATCCAAAAAATGCATAAAGTGCTGTTGGAGATCTAGTGACTACTTTTTGTTTAGTTATTTATTACTCATATATAATTAATAACTATATAAAAGTAGTCATTAGAATTTTGAAAATAAAAGTAGTTAATAGTGAAACTCAAATAATCAATAGTTATATGAAAATAGTCACTAGGAGTAAGGATGATATTATCATTTCACAAAATTTTAAAATTCCAAAATAATATTAGGGTTTTGATTTGATATTTTGAAATTCTCCACCTCAATTTATTTTTTGACATTTTTAAAGATATTTTGGTGTCTTTTTCTCATTGGTACAAGTTTTAGAAGATTAGTATATAATTGACTTTAATTATTATTTTTATTATTGAGGGACCCACCTGCCCGATTCTTGTCACGCCATTGCATAATGACTTTTCAAATGGAGTTGGACCCCAGCCCAGAAAGTGGTTGCCGGCGGCGCTGAAATTTCAACATAAATTTGGGATTGAAGCTGACATCTTCTTCGCCTCATCACAAGAGTCTTAATCCAATGAATTATCTTAACAAAATATCACAAATATCCCGAAATTATTGGGTTAAAGAAGTTTCAAAACCCCTAATTGTTGATCTGGTGTGTCCCACTAAAGCCACCATTATTGGTGACCAAAACAGCCACCAACTTCAGAAAAGGCCAACCTACCAGATTTCCACCACCAGTGTCTTCTTGTCTTGAGAGATATAGTATTTTAATTGTATAATCAATTTTAGTGTTATTTGCAATTAAAAAATATCTAATAAACTTGAAGGAAAGTATAATTTTATTGAACTATTATAAGATAAAAACTATTATGTAGTAATGAATGTTGAGTTTTTAAGAAAAACAATAGGAGCATAAAGTTTGGGTAATAAATATGAGAATGCTGATATAAATATACAGTCATACAATAAAACGTAATGAATATATATAAGGAAGAGTTGACATGGTACTTATTGAAGAGAAATAAAAAGTTATTTAAGATGCTTTAGATGTCCACAAAAAACAGTCCTTTGAGACCCTGGTGGTGAAAAAAGTGGATGAAACGAAATCCTCCGAAAAGAGGCAAAGAAAAATCGAAGCAAAAGTTCAATAAAATTATTTATTAATAATAGATTTAAACATTTGACTGCTGATGGAGCATAATAACAATGTGCTATCTATATAACAAACTCCTATATAACAAAGTCCTAGTGGAATGACACTTAACACTTCATTAGTGTTTAGTGCCAATTAACGTCGAAGTTAAGGGGAACTCAAGTCCCACATAACAGTTATTACTTTTTTCTATTCGCAAATGCTTGACAATGTTAGAATCTGCATATTTTGCAGGTTCCACAAAAGGTATCCTTTATCATTGGATAGTTCTATTTGTTCGTGTAAATGAAAGCAGAACTTTAATACTCTGTCCTTGAAAGAATTATATTTAATCTTAAGTTCTTAGTCTCACTCTATGTATACAAGAGACATAGGTGTTAAATGTTAACAGCTACTCCCTCAATTTTATTTATAAGCTTTAAATTTGAGAAGTATAGTCCGTTTTATAAATTTCAATATGAGTTTATTTTAATATTTAATGTATTTTATCCAATTCTACCGCTTCTTATTTACTCTCTCTCCTTCACCATATTCTCTTTCATCACTTTCTTTTTTCATATATTCTCTTTCATTCCTTTTCTTATTTATTGTAAAGATATATTTGTTGATAAAAGTATGTTTTTGATATATTTATTACTTTTAGCTAATTTTAAATAATTTTTTTATTAAACATAAATTAGTTATTTGAAACTTATAATAAGAATTGGAGGGAGTATAACCTAAACTAACCATTGCAATGAGCTCAAATTGGTCATGGTTGTATTGCAGCATGTTACTTTATACTTTCAATTTGAGTTAGCTTGAGTTGACTTGGAAACAAACACAAAAGTCACACATCAAATAGATTTACAACAACAACAAGTATTATCCCACTAAGGTTGGTCACATGGATTGTATAATGTCATTATACTCTATCAACAACTAAATCTTTAGATAAGTTGTTAACCAAAATGTTTTGTTCAATAACTTGATTGAGTGTTCTCCTCGGTCTTGCTCTACTCCTTTTAAAAGGACTCCAAATTATCTGATATACCCTTTTACTAACGCCTCTAATAACCTTCTTTGCACATGCCTAAACCACTTCAAACGATGTTCAACTATTTTTTTAATAGGTGCCATGTCTACTCTTGCTCTAATATTATCATTTTGAATATCATATTTTCTTGTATGATCACACATTCATCTCAACATTTTCATTTTTATTATCCTAACTTTGTGCTCTTATTTTCCCTTTAACATTTACTACCACATAACATGGTTGGTCTTATAACAGTTTGATAGAATTTTCTTTTAAGCTTATTAGGTACCTTCTTATCACAAATAACTTTCGTAGCTTTTCTCTACTTAAATCACCCAACTTGTGTCCTAAGAGAAACATCTCCACCAATTTAATAGATCCTAAATACTTGAATTTTAACGTTTGAGGAATGATTTGATTATCTCCCATTTTAACCTCCAAATCATTACTGAATTGTCTCCCCTAAAATTGCAATGCATATATTTTTGTTTTGCTCCTACTCAGGCAAAAACCTTTCAACTTGAAGGTCCTTCTCCATAACTGCAATAGAGTTAATCTCTTTTCTTAATTCATCCTTGAGAGCAATATCATCTACGAAAAGCATGCACTTAGAGATTTCTTCTTGAATAACCTTAGTTATAACATCTAGAACAAGGTTAAACAAGTAAGAGCTTGAAAAAGATCCATGGTGTGGGCCAAACTTGATAGGAAAATCCTTTATTTGATCTCCGGGTGTTCTTACACTAGTAGGTACCCCTTCATATAGATCTTGTATGGCTTTGACATATGAAAGCCGCATACCTTTCTTCTCGACATCTTTCCAAAGTATTTCTTTTAGTACATGATCATAAACTTTTTCCAAGTCAATAAAAATCAAAGAATAAAAAATTGGACCAAATTGGCCATTTCAACAAGAAAATCTATGAACCAACTAGTAGTCCAGTTTGGTTTGAGCATTGAACCGGTTAAGAGTTGAATCGGTATTGAACTGGTCAAATTGGGGTGAACTGGTGATGAACCAGTTTGAATGATGATGTTGCTATTGATCCTTTTTTTCTCATTTAGCTCATAATAGCTTAGTCACTATAGATTTGAATGAATTTTAATTAATTTTAATTATTGATGAATCACAAAGGTCAAAATTCTTAATAGTGTTATACTTTATTATTATTACAATTAAACTGTTATTATATTTTCTTGTATTTTGTTACTGGTGATTATTAATGTTATTGTATTTCGTTATTTTCAATTAAATTATATTATTTTAATATGATTAGTTTGACTTTGACTAGATCCTGGTCTGACCAATTGACTCTTGAACCACTATCTTAATCAGCTTAATGTTCGGTCTGGTTTTTGTTCCTTGATCAAAACCATATGTTCACTCCTAAATCTTTTGATTAACCCTTTTAGTAAATAAATTGCTTCTAGTATAGATCTCCCTGACATAAATCCAAATTGGTTCTAAAAAATAGAAGTCTCCAACCTCAACCTGTGTTCAATCACTTTTTTCCACAATTTCATTATATAACTTACAAGTTTTATCCCTATGTAATTTGCATACATAGTTTTGAATATCTCCTTTATTTTGTAAATAAAAATTAAAGTGCTTTTACTCTATTCGTCCGGCATTGTCTTTGAGTGTAGAATTTCATTAAAAGGCTTAGTTACCCAGAATTCACTTTCCTTGCCTAAACATTACCAAACTTCAATAAGAACATTGTTAGGTCCAACGGCTTTATAGTTTTCTATTTTCTTAGGAGCTGTCTTAACCTCTCTAATAGGAATCCTCTAGTAAAAAGCCAAATTCCATTCCTGTTCGCTAATTAACAAGTCTTCCAAGTCTTGAGTTAAACCTTCTCTTCCCTTATTTAATGGTTTCTAAAAGTAGTCCTCCCATTTGTTATTAATATCTCCACAAGTAAATAGGACTTTACCTTCTTCATTCTTTATACACCTCACTTGGTCTAAATCTCTTTTTTCGTCTTCCTCTGCTTCGCAATCTTATAAATATTTGTTTTCCCCCATCTTTATTCCTAGCACCTTATAAAACTTCTTATACGCTTTAGAACAATCTTCACTCAATTGATCTCTGTCTCTGTTTTGGCCTAACAATACACTAAAAAAGATATAAAAGCAGAAAGATCTATAAATTGGTATCTTAATATTATGATATTATGATTAGGTTGCGATGTGGTGTTGATTAATCTCTCTCATTATCATCCTTTTGAAATTTAATTTCATTGTTCTACCGTCACATTTTTTTAACATAATAAATCTATAAGGCTTAAGTATTTGACCAAGATTTTTTTTTGGCTTTTTTTTAGGTATAAGTATCCTTCTATTAGAGACAATCCTATTCTAGGCATAAACGTTGGTACCTCTCAATAATGATTTGAATCTTAGTCTGTCATGTTATTTGGGATTAACCCTTCTGTTAAACCTATCCTTGTTAGTATTTGATCTCGAGTATTATCTATGATCATTCAACTACTTTCTTTCACTCAATCCAACCACCATTCTCATTTATCCCAGTGTTTTACTTATAGCCTTCTTAATGAAGATCAATTTCAATAGTTTTTTTTCTTCTTGTAATTAAGGATGTATGATACAAAGATACCTATAATATAGAGTAGAATCACAACATGCCTAATCTCTCCAAAGTTCATAGAAACTTCTTTGGCATTAATTTGTATTGGAAGATTTAAATGACCATATTGCTCATAGATAAACAATTTCCCACCTATCGGAGCTCTATGGAATGGTAAAATAAACCTCATTACGCAACACACACACATGCACACACACTCTCTCTATGTATATATCCTTCCTATATAAGCTATTGGTTTTTAAAATTGATCAGTAAAGTAAAATTTCTGTCAGTTCCGTAGAAACTTCTCTAGCATTAATTTGTATTACGATTTAAATAACCATATTGCTCATAGTTAAAGAATTTCCCACCCTATTAGAGCTCTGTGGCATGGTAAAATAAACCTCATTACACAACACACATATTCTCTCTTTGTGTGTATATATATCTTTCCTACATGAGCTCTTGATTTTTAGAATTGACTAGAAACTTTTCTATCAGTTCCTTAAAACCTTATGTAAAATAGTTTTGTGTTTGGGTTTAGAAGTTAATTGGAATAAAAAAAGTTAGTTGGATGAAGAATAGGATGTTTGGCGGGCTTTTGGGAATATTTGACTTTTTACCCAAAAGCCACTTTAAAGTTGAAGTACTCCTCCTGTTTTTAATGTATGACCTAATTAAGGAGTTGATGTAGGTCTTAAATGTAACACCTATTTTACATGCTTATTAATTTTTTTCAAATTAATTCTATTCATATTTCTCCAATAATAGCTAAGTAGAAAAGGGAGGGAGGGAATTAAGAAAAATGTTTAAGGTGCTTTAGAAAAACATATCATATTAACTAATTTAATTTATATTCTTAATCTACTCAAATTTGATAATTATATCCTATATTAAGAACTGAACGAGTAATTGGTTTTTGTCTTCTAGCTTTTAGCTCTTGACTTTTCTTCAAATTTAAATATATTGAAAATAATTTTTCAATATATCACTTGAGTAAGTTTATGTCAAACTAATTTTTTTTTTACAAAAAACCTATCTAAATATAGATCACTTTGTAATAATATACTTTTATCCCAATTTCAGTTTTTAAAAGTCAATTGAAATAAAAGTCAACTTTAATAGCGTTAATCCAAATAAGTCCTAATTTATTTGCAATATAATATCAATAATCAATCCTGAATCTTTGGTTTTGTTGTAATATTATTAACCAACATAAATGAGGGATGTTGAAAACATCTTTTTATTAGCATTGTTAGTGCAAATTCCATGCTACAATATAATAAAACGCACATCAAGTTACTTTAAAACTTTTTGGCCAAAAACAAGTTACTTTGAAACTACTTTATATTTACTTCAAAACTACCATCTTTTTATATTTCTTTTGCAATATGAGCTAATAACATCAAACAATTAAGATGATTTGAAATTCTTACCAAAGTTCACCACTATATTTTTGGATAAATTTTCGAATTAGTATAAAGGAAATTTGACAATAGAATATTAGTTATTTAATTTCATCTAACTCTCCATTGCTGATTTTTCACCCCTCAAAATTGTTTTCTGTTCATCCCTGCCAACCTACTAAAGGGGGTACTCAAGTAATAACCAACCACAATAACTTTATTTTGTCCCTTTACAAAGCATAAATTATACAAACTTACAAAGCATGCACAAAACATTCGACCATTGTAGCTTGAAGATCTAAAGGTTGAACTAGGGTCTTTAAGGAAGAGTTCTAGTTGAAGTCACTCTTTATTACTTCTATAAGGGTTAATACTACCGATTCTTAATATAAGAGCTAGTTTGATTTTTATTTTGGTCCTAAATATAAGATCCTAATCTACTTTGTCTCTCATATTTATCTATTTTTTAAGGAGAAAATTACACTAAGGTCCCAAGGATCACAATTTTTTTAGAAAAAGTTCCTTGAAATCCTGAAATTCTTTCTAAGTCCCCAGGGACCATAGAGCAAAACATTACAATTATGAAAAGTCCATTTTACCCTCATTGATTAAAAAAGAAAAAAAAGAGGGAATGCTTTCAATTGGTGCGTTGGGTGCTGCATGCATGAGAAAGAGAAGCTTCAGAAAAAAGGAATGGAGGTCTGTGACAATTTCCATCATCTCCATTATTCTAGACAAGCTATGTTTTTTCTTCATCTTCTTTGTAGGTGTCATCATTAACAACATTTGTCTTCTTTCGTGAACAACCGTTGAAAGTTTAATGTTGGTTTGAAAAGTTGATTAGCTGTGGGCATGTGGGTATTAAGGATGTGATTCAACTCACTTGAACTATCAAGGGAGGCTCATTTTAATCATATATGGTCTTAATCATTTTGGGTGTAATTTTTTTATGTGTGGTTAGGATTATAAAGTGATGCTCTGTTTTTTGGTGGTTAATGCTTTGGTTTTTTGGTGATTGATGCTATGTTTCTAATGAAAATAAATGAAAATAATAGATTTTTATTGTTATAACCCTTGTAATGCGATGATCAAATGTCTTGTTAATTGGTACATCGAAGGTTGTTAATGTAACTGAATGACCTCTTATTAACAAGTGATTGTGACAGGTTGATATGAAGGATGACAACTTCAAGTGGGAAGCATTTGTTCTATTACCTCTATATAGGGGGACAATTTATTAATGGTGAAGAAGGTGAAATGCAATATGTTGGAGGTAGTGTGAGAACAAAAATGATAAAGAAAGGCATATCATATGAAGAATTTAGAACAATGGTAGCATCAATTACGGGAAAAGAAAGTAAAAGAATGGTTATGAAATTCACAGTAACCTTTTATGAGTATACATTTATAGACTTTGTAGATAATGAAGGAGTGCAACATTAACTTCAATGGTGACAGTGGTCATGTATATATAGGAGAAACTAGAGATGAAAATTCACAACTAACAAGGGATGTTCCAATAGAAGAGTAACATGTGTAAGTTGTATTATTTAAATTTTGAAGTAATGTTATCTATTGTCAATTGTTGTGCTTAAGTTGTTATTATAGTGGTTGAAGGTTGTTATTAACAGCCCCATGACTTGTCGTGTTATGTAGGATGAAAGACTTGTTCGGAGGTTCAGATGCATTGTCCATATCTCTACCCAATGTGTTTAGTGAAGACCCACTATCATTACCATGTGGTTCACAAATGATACCAACACCAATTCCAGAAATGAATTCAAAAAAGTAGAAGGGTTTGATTATTAGAGAATGACAAATTTTTCCTAATGTAGTGGCCCTTAGGCAAGCATTATATAAGTATAGCATTGCTGAGAAGCTTTCATACAAATTTGTGAAGAACAATTAACAAAAGATCATTTGTGAAGTGTAAGGTTGAGGGATGCTTGTGGTACATGGGTGCATACTCAATGGGATAAAGACAAGATGCTGGGTTCTTAATGATAAGAACATTAAGAAGTGAGGATGTGCATTATGCACAGGACATCTTGGTTGTATCTCATTCCAGAAGGTTAAACTTAACATCATCAATCATGATAGATTCTTTGAGGTGTAATATAGATAAGAATGCCAATGAAATTAGAAGAGATTTGTACAGAGAATATGGGGTGCGACTAAATTATAATCAAGCATACAGGGGTAGAGAAAGAGCATTGAGGGAAATACATGATCGTCAGAGGATTCATACATGGTGATTCCTTGGATTTGTGAAAGGCTTATTGAAACTGATTCAAACACAATTACTCGATGGGAATGCTTGGATAGCAATAGATTTGAGAGGGTGTTCATTGTTTATGGATGCTTAATTAATGAATTTTTAGAAGGGTGTCGAAACATTACATATATGGATGTCATCTAAGTGGTCCTTATAGGGGGATATTGATTTCAGCTAATGCATACTATCACACCTCCTTCATTATCTTATTATATAACAATTGGAACCTTTTAGGATCAATACACAAGCCATAAGTATGGAAAAAATTTGAATATGAAATTTTCATTTTCGGTTTACTATTTACTGTTCACCGCATTTTGGGCTAATTTTGAAAATTCATAACTAAATATAGAAAAATCAAAACTAAATGTTCTAATTTTTGTTTGAAGCTTGTTATGCCTTCTATAAGGAAAAAAAAAACCCATTGGCCTCAGATCATCACAAAATAGCATCAGAAAATTTGACAAGTAGTATTTATATAGTTATTTTCCAATTTTCCAGTATTTTAGCCCAACTTTGGAAGGGCATATCTCTTGGTACAAAACTCCAAATTTAGTGATTTACAACTTGTCTTAGCCAGCTCTATATGATTTTAGGTATTCTCAGTGATGCGGTAGACTTCCACAACCTAATTAAAAACCTCAAGTTGTCATGGTACCACCTTCTCTCTTAACTCGGGCTTTAGCCCTCTGCTCATCTTTTTCGTGAACCAGCATTCATTATTCACGTGTTGGAGATATGTGGAATACCTGAACAATTTAATATACCTGGCCAAGTATTCATCAAGCAGTTCATTGGCTACCTGTTTAATGGTGAGGAACTCTGCCTCCTTCTTGTCCATGACGGAGCGAGGAAAGTACTTC